TGAGTTTTCGATCTATATACTCTGTACGATATGAATTATGTCAGCCGCGCATTCCTGACAACTGCACATCAGTTAGGGACCATACATCTTTTTGGTTCAACGTTTATTCGCGTAACACACTCTCTTATGAAGATCATTCTGAATCTAATTTCCATGAACACGACACGTATTTGTTAACAGTGACATCGACTAAAAAGAACATAATCAACTCGAAACGTATCATTTCCTGGCAAACATCTCTTTCACTTTCCCTCCACTTCGTGTTTATTTCTGATTTTAACAGCTTGTGTACCAAAATTAGATAGATAGAAATATTGTTAAAGATTTAAATATAATTAGAGAGATAGCCATGACAAGTAAAAAAATTACATTTTTCCAGGCTCCCAACGTGGTCCACGTGGCCTTGTTTAACGCTTTTGTGGAAGCAAAAGGGGAGACACACTATTGTCCTCCACGTCTTCGAACTCTCATCACGTCAACAGCACAACTAAATCGAACCAGGAAAACCAACCGGTACTTTCGCGTGTCTTTTCTTGACAAGAAAACTAACGGGTTACAGCACACCGCGTTTCTCTCGAAGCATCTTCCTGTCGAAATACCAAATTTACTACTCGCACATCTTGACACGTTACAACGCTCTATGTAAATGCTCGGCGAAACGATCCTCCCCTCGATTACATTGTCCTGTTCACGATCGTTTCGAGAAATACACGCGATATCCTGCATACGCTCTCAGGTTCCAAATACCTCGTTCACGTTCCGCGGCAACAAACCGAATGACCTTACTATCGTACACGCACTGACAATTCGTATCAGCCGACTACTTACAATCTCGTACTAATGCCATCTGTCGTCGTACTTCGACATCAAAGTTTTTAACGCACAGAATACAAAGTCCCTAGTATCGCGCTTCCGCGGTTTTTGAAAGTCATCCTGCATTTGTAACAAAAGTTGATACATTTATAATTATAGCTTTCACTCTGTAAATCAAACGGATACATAAGTATATATATGTACATAACATGGATACTAGTACTTTTATAAAGCATGATTCGAATTTTTCCATAATTAGATAACTATTTCATCGATTTACTAAGGTTTTAAAATCGCGAAACGTTAATGGAGTATTTCAAATGTAATAATAAAATCTCTAAAGCTCAGAAATTTGCAATTTTGCTACTTTATAAAAGATACGCTCGAATAATTTGTAGAATGGGGAATTGCGAGAACCTAGGGAGAATGTAACATCGCAGTAGCTCCATCATCAGTAACACCACCTCTACCGACGTTCTACCAGCAACTCCGTCATCAGTTACGAGCGAAAGAACGAGGTCTTCCGTTCCGGCATAATAGTCGTGCAGGTTGGCAGACGCGCGGCAGTGTGCTATCGTTTTTCCGACTTTTGTAGCATTCCTAAGAAAGATTCACGAGAACCTCGCGTTCAGTGCTGTGATCAATTTCTCTGCATTTCGAGCAACATGAATGAAGAATACGACGCGATCGTGCTGGGCACCGGACTCAAGGAATGCATACTTTCGGGTATGCTATCGGTCAGTGGGAAGAAAGTGCTCCATGTAGATCGGAATAAATATTACGGAGGTGAATCTGCCTCGATTACGCCTCTGGATGATCTATTCGCGTAAGTTATTTCGATCAATCAAATATTCCCATGGTCCATTTTAATGTCATACTATTGCCGGCATTAGTATCGTATTTGGAACTGTGTGATCAACTACTCGTACGATGCAATGATTCGTCTTTAATATTGATTTTTTCCCCGTTTTATTTCGCGATAGCCGTTGATTATCGTTTGGTTAAATTCTTCCGTTAAGCACATCCCGAAGCGAAGCGTGACGTACGTATTCACCTGCCGTGATGCGTCGTTACTCTTCAACTGCTTCCAAATTTTCATTCGTTTCTAAACAATTCTGTCGGGAGATTGACTAAAACGTCATTCGATAAGAGGGAGGGGGGGGAGGTCCCGCCCCAGAGAAATACATGCTCCATCGAACTTAATGAATTAGCTGTGTAGTATTTTGCAATTACCGCGACACGCTATTTCCCTTTTAAGATACATTTTTCCTTGCCACTCGCTCGTCCATCTCAATCTCCCACCTCCCACCTCTCACCTCCTTCCACATACCTTCATTTATCATTCGAAAAAAATTATGTATATCTATTTAATCGCTTCGAATACAAAAAGAATACATGACAAGATACGAGATTAATTTGTCGTGTGTTTAAGAACTTAGCAGGAGAAATATGTTGGATAATCGAAGTGGTACCGTTAGTTCAGTACACTTCCTGTGAAATTGAACATATGTTTGCCTCCCTGTGCCAATTCGAAATTTCAAATAAAAGTTAATCTGATTCTTTTACTCAATATCGTTTCTTTTCCATTAATTTTTTTATATGAAAAAGAGTGTTTTTTATATACATCGAAATTAATTTTTATTAAATGCTTTCGAAGATTTTTCTTTAAAAAATAAAAAAATCTGATGGCATAACGTGTTTTCTTCTACTGTTTATGACACGAAGAACGATAACACAACCGCATGATTGTGCTTCTGGTTCATCGGGGAGACGGTTATCATGTGTCCGGTTGCACTCAATAAATTATAACACGCATCTAAACTACCCATCTGTTGTAACAGTAACTGTTATTCGACTGCACTCGCGTATAATCCGATCGAAAGAATGCTTAAAAAACGATGTGAAAGTAAACGGAACGAAACTGCTTTCCAGAACGGATTGTCGTAATATTAATAAGAAACTATATAATTTCTTTCTCATATTCGCATAAAATTTACGATTATTGGCTGATAGAATACTTTTTATTTGATCGTTCACTTTGAATATATCGAAAAAATAAATGAAAACCATTGTAACGTCTTATTAGTAAATATTAATAATTAGAAATTATTAATAATTAGATACTATTTCTTAAACTGATAATAATCATAGAAGGTACTTTCATACTGCTAGCGTTATCGAAAGTTTTGCAAAAATTCAAATTGTATTTTCAGAAATATGTCGCATTAGTGAAATATTATGATGATTAATTTTAGTTTCTCATACGTTATCTAGGAAATTCAAAGCCCCACCGCCGGATGAAGCTTATGGTCGTGGTCGCGACTGGAACGTTGATTTGATTCCAAAGTTCCTGATGGCAAATGGGTTGTTGGTAAAACTGCTAATTCACACAGGCGTGACGCGTTATTTGGAATTCAAGTGCGTTGAAGGATCGTATGTCTATAAATCCGGCAAGATTTCGAAGGTGCCGATAGATCAGCAAGAAGCACTGTCCAGCGATTTAATGGGCCTTTTCGAGAAAAGACGTTTTCGTAGTTTCCTTATATGGGTGCAGAACATGCAAGAAGACGACCCCAGAACTTGGGACGGCTTCGATCCATTTAATAATAGCATGAGCGCTTTGTACAATAAGTTTAATCTCGATAAAAACACTCAGGATTTCACAGGGCATGCATTAGCCCTTTATAGGTAAAAAAATATATATATATATTTATATAAACATAAATATTATTTTGAAAATATATTAATAACTTGATGATTGATATATGTGCTAATATTTTGCTGTTTCAGAGACGACGAATATATAAGCCAAAGCGCAATTACTACTATAAGAAGAATTAAATTGTATAGCGATAGTTTAGCACGTTACGGAAAATCACCATATCTGTATCCTATGTACGGCTTGGGTGAACTTCCTCAAGGTTTCGCACGACTTAGCGCGATTTATGGTGGAACGTATATGTTAGACAAACCGATCGACGAAATCGTTATAAAGGATGGAAAGGTACAAATTTGAATTTTTTTTTTAATTAAAAGGAAACTACTGAATTAAATCCATGATTAATTATTGATTTTTATCGCAGGTTGTTGGTGTACGTTCTGGCGATGAAGTAGCCCAATGCAAACAAGTATTTTGTGATCCCACATATGTACCTGATCGTGTGAAAAAAGTGGGTCAGGTGATAAGATGCATTTGTCTTTTAGACCATCCTATACCGAATACAGCAGATGCCCTGTCAACGCAAATTATTATTCCTCAGAAACAAGTAAATAGAAATTTACATTTCGTTTCCGTGTTCCAATATATTGTCATTGTATTCATTTGTTTCCATTTCCTAGGTTAATCGTAATTCCGATATCTACGTATCTCTAGTATCACATACCCATCAAGTAGCGGCGAAAGGATGGTTCATAGCTATGGTATCTACTACAGTTGAAACGAAAAATCCGGAGGCCGAAATCAAACCTGGCTTGGATTTACTAGGACCAATCAAACAAAAGTTCATATCAGTTTCTGATTATATGGAACCAACAGACAACGGTTTGGACAGTCAGATTTTTATATCAACCAGTTATGATGCCACAACGCATTTTGAAACTACTTGTTTAGATGTTCTTGATATATTTAAACGAGCCACTGGCGAGGAGTTCGATTTTAACAAAGTAAAGCAAGACCTAGGCGATGAAGATCAGTAACCATAAGATAATTACGGTTACTGGTCAGTTTTAATACTAGTTCATGCTGAATTGAAAAAAGCGAGCAAGCAACATAATGTAATGTGTGTATACCGATAACATCGGTGTTTACCGAAGTCTCAGAGCAGATACAATCTGCTAATAGACTTATGCCTAATCCTAGATTCTCTTTAATAGAGAACTTTAATGACAAACGCAAACGTTATTCAAAATTTATTTTTCAAATTTATCCCAATCTAATTCTATAAACTGCCCTTTTTACATTATGTCTAAAGTATACGTGTACGACCATTTTCACACACACACAAAAAAAGATTAATACTAGAATATTTGTCGTCTGCATATTCGTCGATAAATTTTGAACAATTACAAAATGCAATTTATTATACGGTTTGTGTACCCATGTATTCGTCACTGACATGAGATTTGAATTAAATATGACAGTGCCGATTATCGTGACTTTATAATTGTATCATATTTTAACTATCAAATTAAAACATAAGGATAACTGTTTATTGAGATTGTAAATGTTACAGAATCCTATAGTTATATTGCTAATTACAGTAGTCAAAAAGTCATGAGGTACAATATAGAAGTAATTTAAAAAAATGAATCCTACACGCAATTATATAAATAGCATGTCGCTGTATAGCATTAGAAAATATGTCATAATTCTGCACATTTAGTTATGATATTAATTCAAATTTCAAACATATAAATTAAAAGATACGAAGTTCATACATATAAATTGAAGCACTTTCAAAAACTAATTGCCTGTAACAGAAAAGATTGTAGAAAATTTATGTCAAAATATTGAAAGCAGAAAAAAGCGGCCAACCATTTACATAAATTACATAGATATATATAAATCTCAAATACGTAAGAGTGAGAATATAGAAAAAATGTGGAATCGTTGAGATATTGTTATTTTATGTGAGCTTAAGAATTGGAATATTTTTTTGTCCAATATTTATAAGGTCATCATTATTAATAGAGAAACATCTAAAAAAGACAAGTATACACAGACGTACATTGATTTTGAATACTATACGTGTGCACTTTCGTATGCGTGAATGTTTTGTTGATGGAGCGATTGGCTATTTCTCAGAATTTTTTATTTCGCTTGCATTTTGCTTCAAACTGTAAGCGTATCGCGAATTCGTATTACATATGAAATTTATTGAACAAAGATACGTGATCCCCTATTACTTTATCTAAAACGTTATTCACGTAACTGTAATGACAGTCATAAAAAAAATAAATCATACTATATTAATTTCATTAATTTGTATTCCTATCCATTTCATGACACAACGAATACTTAATATATTTACTTACCAACTATAATTTAAACAAGTTCTAGAATATAGACGTTATTATCTCTGCATCCAATGATTATAATATTATTATCAATAACTGGCGATGAAAAAATCTCGCCAGGAAGTTTTTCAACTTTTATCAAACTATTTTCTATAGAGTTATAAATATTTAAAGTACCATCTGTACATGCTATGAACAGAAAATCATTTTCACACCAGGGAGTGGCGAAGATTGGTGAATGTAAATTTAATATATATTTTAATGTGGGTTTAGTTTTAAAGTTTGTATCTTTTGATTCTAAACAATACACGTTCTTATTTTGACTAGCTAGAATAATAGTTTCATGCTTTGTGGAGGTATCACTCTGCTTCACAATATATGAAAATACATTGCCATTGATTTTGTAAGACCACATCTGTAAAGTTGAAAAGTAAAATCAAGTAAGAACGACTAGTTTTACGAAATAATGAGTATATATATCCAATTCTTTTATATATGTTACCTTAACATTTACTTCAATATCAAAGCAACATAGCAGTCCTGTTACAGAACAAAATAAGACAAGCCCATTATTCAGTGACAAAGGAGCAACAAAAATTGGATCTGACAATTTATGCTTCCATACAAGTTTTCCTGATGATTGTTGAAGTGCTAGACACAATCCATCTAAAGTTCCAAACAATACAGTGTCTGATGAAACATGTAAACAGCCAGATGCGCTAACACTTCCATCACCGAATTTAGATTTCCAAACTTCAGATCCATCCTATAATGTATATTTATTATTATCATTATCTTTTTTTTTGTATTATTTAATGTCAGTATGTATAATTTAATTACTTTAATGTGAACAGATACCTTCACAGATAGACAGTATATATAACAGTCATAAGAACCAACAAATATTATTCCCTTTATTTTACACAATATTGCAGAACTTTTTACAACATTTCCTGTTTGATGATTCCAAATAATATCCCCTGTTTTTAAGTGAAAACAATATATATTACCATCATAACATCCTGTAAGAAAAAGAAGTTAAGGAAACACAAATAGATTTTTTTGTCTTTTAAGAAACCTACTTTTAATTAAGAAACTTACCCACTATACCTCTGAAATCATCCAAAACCAAAACTGAGGCTTCAACCCTATCAGGTAGTTTGATTTTAAATGTAGAATTACGACACTTCTCTTGTAATCCAAAAGTAAAAATAAAACCAGAGTGAGAACCAACAGTTGCATACGTTTTTCCACTAAATAAAATAATTCTTCATCGAGTCACAGACTATATTCAAAATAGTTCATTAAAAATATACTTACTCTGAATAATGGAATACAGTCGGTGATGCATCTACACATTTTTTCAAATCATAAGTTTCTAATATTTTAACATTTGAAATTGCGTTATATTGTAACTTGTGTTCTTCATTTATATCTAACACATTTTTACATGTTTGTCCTCTACACTTATACCACTGACAGGTATATATCTCATTTGTTTGAATCATCAAGTCACAAGTTTTTCTTTTTTCATGAGAATCTTCTAAAGACTTCATGTCTTCTTTACCAATATTAGTTAAAGGGACTTCTTTAGTACTATTAAAATGAGATTTGAGATTGATCATTTTCTTTTGATCATTATTCAATATAACACTTTTTATATAACTAAGACATTCGTCGATAGTAGCATCCATTAAAAGCATGCCAATTAATTCAGGAAATTCTATGTTTAGTGTTTCAGATATAGTATTTGATAATTGAAGTGCTATTACAGATGTTCCTCCTAATTTTACAAATCCATCATTTTCACATTGTAAATTATTTTTCCAAATTGATTTAAAAGCAATTTTAATTTGTTGGAAGTCAATGTTTTCTATTGCCTGATGTATTACCATTCTTTGTATGTGATACTTTTTTAAAAATTCTAAAGAAATTTTTCCACTAGACGTAAATTCAATATGCTCCATGAAATGAATTTTATCTGGTCTATATAAAGAATCTAATTTGTGGAGATGTTCCATTATATCAGTATTTACATTATGATTATTTGTGACATTCTCCTTAGTAGAAAAATATAAATGTAAATGATGGCAACTATCATCCCATATTACGTAACAATTTTTCACAAAATCTATTTGTAATACAAATTCTTTAAGCTTTGATAAATCTACTTTATTCCCAAATCTTTTAATAAAGCTATCCCTCCTTCCCTTGTAAAATATCCTTCCTTCTTCATCAATCTGAAATAGAAATATATGTATTATTAGCATTATAGTTGTTACTAAGTATTGTCTATGTTCACATTAACTCACATTAACTATATCACCAGAATCACGAAATACTGGTAATTCTAAATCTTCAATATTTTCATCATTGATCAGACACACTCTTTGATTGCTTCCTGCATAAAAACAAACAACATATAACAATTTTTCTTATGGTATTACGAAATTAAAATAAAATCTCTATAATAGTAAAATTACCTATATAAAGGAACCCTGTACCATTTGTAATTACTTCATCTCTTTCATTCCTAACTTGAAATATAGTATGTGATAACACTTGACCCAAACAATGTACATTAAATTGTGTATTTGTTATCATAATTTCATTAATACTAGCCCAACAGGATACTTCAGTAATACCATAGATGTTATAGATTTTGGTATTATTATAAGGATGCTTGGCTGCAGAAATTAATTCTAGTTTAGGAAAAGGTTCTCCGCCAAAGAGAATAGCTCTTAATAAAGTATTATTACTTAAAATACTAGATTTTAAAGATTCGGCTGTCCAGCTATACATAAAAACTGATGGAGTTATTTGTAGTACAGTAATTTGATTAGAATAAGTTTCTTTCAAAAGCCTGAAAATAAAGAAGATTTATGTAAAAACAGGTTTCCATATAAAAATTGTATTTCCCTACATAATTACTATTTACCTATTTGGATCACTTTTCAATAACTTTGATACCATGAATAGTGTTGCAGCATTTGAAAGAGCAAGAAAAATTTCAATAATACTAGGATCAAATGTAAAATTTGTAAATTGAGAAATTTTATCACAGTTTGTTATTCCCAGTATTTTGTTCAAGTCTAAAACATTAGGGACTATACATGAGTGGGGTACTCTGACTACTTTTGGTGCTCCTGTTGAACCAGATGTAGAAATTGCATAAGCGTAATAATTTTGTTTTACTTTTTGGGTAATTTGTTTCTGTACGTCTTCGATTTTAATAAGGTAAATACATTCTCTGTGTATTTTAAATTTGTATACAATATCCCCCTCAACATCCATTTGTTTTGAAAAGAAATAATGTAAACTTAAATGGTTTTTTAGATTCATGAATTCTGTTGAATCAACAGGTATATTTACAAAACTATGCTCACTACTTAGGATTCTATGAAAAAAAGATCATAAATATAATTATTATGTCAATATCTCAGATATTTCAAACAATTTAAAATCTTACCCAAGTATCACAGAAATTACACAATATTCAGGTATATCAAAATTTATACCAATAAATTCAATGTTTTTTATGCATTTTAAATAATCAGAAATCAAACTTTGTGTAACAAGAAGTTCTCTGTAATTTATATAGATGATTTCTTGCAAATCATGATATTCTATAGCTATATTATCAAGTTGATCCCAATTACAAATATCATGTAACTTTTTTCCAAGATTTTTTGAACCATTGGGATAAAATAGGAAATTCTCTTTCTCATTATCTAAAATAATTACATATTTTAATACGTATTAATTAAAACTAGGATACTGAATGTTTAAACTCTACACTCACCCATTATGTATTAAATGCCATTCGATATTAATTCTTTAATATTTTAAAAGCTTTGATCATAGGTTACGTCGCATGTTTTTCTAACATAGTAAATAAATATTTACTATAATTTTTTCGTTATATATTACAATACATAATTTCTTCATTTGTATTTGTTGTTGTAAAATGCAATAGTTGCTTCTTTGTTAGAAAAAATAGTATACATTTTGTATTTACACATTTGCATTAGAAAACGTAACATACACACATTTACGCGCATGCGTGCGCGTTGACATATGTATTTTTATTTCACTTTCAAGGGTATATTTCAATTATCAACTATTATTAACAATTTATGCTAACATAAATTCTCTTTTCATAAATTCACAAATAATTTTTTACTTCACATTTATATAGTTTTCTATCATAGGATATAAGGATAATGTAAAAAAATTGTCAAAGGTAGAAATTAAATTTATATTCTATGTAAATGAAACACAATAGTTATGCAGATCTACTATACTCCTAAAGTAGAGATAACAATCATTACAATATTACAAACTTGTTTAATTTCCATTATGCACGCTAAATGGTATTATTAAATGTTATATAAGGAATCTGAAATAAATAAACCACAAACACATTAAAGTGACTCATTCTTAAATTTAAAATGTATACACTATTTGCTGCATTGAATGGAAAGTGCTGTGATCATTTTAATGACTTCTTCAAAACAATAGAAGTCACGTACTAACTTTTAAAGTTTCAAACATTGGAACTGAATTTTTTAATAACCAAGAAAACAGGTATCCACAAACAATTTTATTTTTCTTCACACCATTCATTTTCTTTGCGAACTTGTTCCTCTTCGGATGCAGAAAAATCATTTTTAATATTGAATGTCTTTCGAATTTCTTCGGGTGTTTTGCCCTTTATCATATTAGCAACAGTTTTACACGTTACATCTAATAATCCTTTAATATCAAGGTAATTAGCAGCCAAAATTAGTTCAAACAGAGTTCCTTGATCAACCTATAAATTTATAAAGTTTAATTAAATTTAAAATTATATGTTTTTATGTACTATTGTATGTATGTATTATATATATTCAAACATCACCTATTAATAATACTCATAATTAATAAAAGAATTAATATTAAACTGACATTAATATTACAAAATAAATAATGTTAACAGAAATGAGATATTTACCTTCAAGAAATCTGCGTCCCAAGAACTTATATCGTCAGTACGCTTTTCCTTGTTTTCATCATCTTCAGGTGGAGGTGGATCGTCCTTATGATAAGTAGCCCATTGTATTACTTTCCTGAGGATAGCCGAATTAACGTTTGGAAGAGGTACCACTTCTTCCTCATCTTCGTCCATTCCAAGGTCTTCCAGCATGGTCTTTATAGTGACCGAACACTTTGCAATATCAACATCCACTTCAAAAACTTCACCATCGGAGCTTTGTAGCTTGATGTTAGGCATCTAGAATAAATTTTCAACCACTACTTATAATATGCTCATCAACTACATAGTTTCGAAAAAAATATTTTCTGTGCATAAACGAAGTGTTTTCTTATTTAAATACAAGCATCGTTGTTTCTTTCATTTCAATACGTTAAAAAGTATATCCATTATTCAAGAAATAATTGCCAAGATTCTTTTTCATGTACGATTAGGTTATAAAAAAATTTTGAGATACACAAACACTTCGTCCATACAGCAAAACATTTAATGCAAACGACATTTTCTTGTAATAAGTTATCTGCTCAAGAGTATTAACTATTTTGAAAGACTAAACACTAAGTTAGAAAATTGAATTTCTCTTATGTAAATTCGACAAAATATCAGAGTAATCACCGTAAAATGCTTCTCGTAGTCAATGTACAGGAATATTGAATAATTTGCTACACCGTTGATCAGCAGAAGGCACTTGTTCTCCTGCTCTTTGTTGCTCCCGTTATAACTTCTATTCTCTCCTTCTCACTCAATATTCGTTTGCTGTCCTTTTCAATGCGTCGAGAACCTATTTACGTCCTTACTCTACTATTTCTTTTTCTCTTTGTAGTTTTGCTATGGAGGGAACATGAATTTATGCGATACACTGAATTTGGTGTAAGATGGCGCCACGGTACTGCGCAATAATCACATAAGAAAATTCGATTTATCATAGAATTAAATTTTATTTTAATTTTAAAGTCATAACAATAAAATACTAGATTAAATGTAATTTGTATTTAATTATAAATCTTCTTCTTTATATTAAGTATTTAATAAATCAGTTGATTTTTGTATATATTCAATAGGTATTCTCAAGAACCAATCAGCGTTTGAAAAGCGTTTTATTAAACTGCATAGATAAGTTCACGGAAGGAAGACATTAACAATATCAGAAGAAATACAAAATCTTTGATCAGCTACAAAGTACTAATTATAATTACATTATAAAAAGAGATATGTCGTTTTAAGAACGATGCACAGAAATAAATAATTATTGCACAAATTTTATTTGCATAAAAATCATTTGCAATGAAGAAACTTGACACTATATTTACAGAGATATCGAATTATTATTCGAGCCGCGTGGCGCCTAAGAGTACATCACTGGATACTAAAAAATTACGAGGTATCGTGTTAAGTTAATAGAATATGAGTTGATAGAAAAAAATTGCACAGTAATTTTCTACCATAATGAGCCATATGATTTTCGGTATAACCATGATAAAAACAAGAGCATCTGACCCCATCACTTGAAACCATAAAATTATGCCTTACTATTGCTCAAATGATTCGGCCGAAAGAGAATCTATGAAAGTATGAATGCATAAACGAGCAGTGGATTCATATGAGAGGGATACTTGTCTAGGCGCCAACCAAATAGCCTAAGCATGTTCACTTACCCTCTTTTATCGTAAGTCGTCTTCTTCATCTTCTTTCCCTTTCTTTCGTTCATTGTTTCTTCTTTTTAGTCTTACAATTATTACAATATTTTCTCCATTGCAGGAACGAATGATGAAAAAGATCAGATTTCACTTTATTCTTTTTTTACTTTGTTCATCGTTCCTCTTTTATCCTTTATACATATCGGTTGGAAAGCTGTGAACAATTTCTCGCAAAAGTACAATTATTACAAGCAGAGTACGAGAGCTACGTCACGTTGATTCGATAGCCGTATCAAAAAGTTCGTTTGATTTCCCCGCTGATCGATCCTTCGAATGGAACGAGAGGACTCGTTCGCTAGGGTAGTTTTACTATCGATGCGTCGAAAGATGCATTAATGCGAGTTAGTTTACTCGAAGCAAGATAAACGAATGAGTCGTAACGTTTCAATCAATCGTCCAATTGAATGAAATGGAAAAGTTATTGAAAGATACCATACGTTTACGATGAAAACGATGTTTTCTAGAAACACGTATCCTATATGTATATGCACTGTCAATCATAAATATTAGAACACCTACTCGTTATATTGGTTGAAAAAATTTAGTTCTTTTTTATTTTGTATTTTAGATTCTAAGTCACATACGATGCAAATTAAATAACCAGCAAATAAAAACTGTGAAAAGTATTCAATTTGTACTAAACGTCCTCCTATTCAGTAGTATTCCAATACATATGATTGACAGTGCATATATTTGATAGTTCTCAGTGTCACACTGTAAAGGCTCATACATTTGTGCATAAATTTAAAAGTGCACATATCGTACATAATTGAACATTGCAAAAATATATGAAATATCTGAAGTACAGTATTAGAAGTATGAGAAAACCTAATAATATCTGGTCGAGACGAGAGAATTTCGACATACTAGAAAATTCCGAAATTTTCGGAAACCCAACCCGTTCTGATTTGGTATCTTATTCCGACTATCGGGTTGTCGACATTTTCGGGTTCTCGCACACATCCATAAACATAATATTAGTTATAATATCTAGTAGGTAAAAGAAATATCATTTCCACAATTATGTTTATAAAGATATAAATTTGCACAAACATTTACAGGTTGCTTGGTATACTTACATGTTAACCATGATAGAGCAAAAAGATAAAACAATACATCTATTGGAAAAAGCATTGGAAACGGTTAATTGAACTGAAAGAAAAGACGAAAGAGGACTCACAAGTTTTGTGACTCGTCGAAAGTTCAAATTTTACATGAAGCATGTCAATAATTTAATTAAACGTGCAATTGCATAAGTATTTCACCTGATCTTACGAAATGGTTTTTTGAACACAGTGAACGCCGAAGAAACGTTAGGGAACGTGATCGCTAATAATTAAAGAAGCTTAAAAAGCTCCAGGACAAATTTTATATGAAACTCAAAGAATAAGAGTGAAAAGGAAACGAGACTGGTAAAGACAAAGATTATAAATCTTACGCAACTATTAAGAGCGATCATAACCGTAGTGGATATTAACGAGATTACTTCTAAATAGCTCGCGGTGTCTTTTACATCCTTCGAGAACCTTTTGTAAAAGCTACGACTTCACTTCATCTCTCGAGCGTGAAACCTTATTAAAATTCTCGTCGAATGAAGTCAACTTTCATGAAAGCATCGATACGATTCTGGATCTCTTCTTCGAATTTGTCATCGATTGTTAAAATTATTTAACTTTGTTCAAACTACTTAAAATATTGCCGTTCTTTTTAATGGTCGCCAAAAATCTGAAAGAAATGAGATGCGACGTATTTGGCCTGGGTTCAAACAGATGAAAAATTTAAGCATAAAGGGTAGTGACATCACAGAATAAAGCAAGATCTTTCTTCGTGACGTACGTCGATATAGCTGCTCTATACTACGTAATGGTTGCGGTGATAAATGCCGAATTACGCAGATCCTTCGCCCCAAAGGCGCCGCTAAGTCTGTCCTTCTCATCTCTTCACACTCCTCCTCCCTTCTTTCTTCTTACTATTAAAGCATTTTCGAATCTTTTTTTCTTTCCCTCTTCAACGTATTTCCACTGAATAGAAGTTCGAATAATTGCGAATTAATTGCAATAGCTTTTGATGATCGTTACCGTTTTCGCGCTTCTTTTGGCCGCACTGTGGAAAACATCATACAAAAACGATCGTTACGATTTCATCGACTTGCAACGATTCCACCAGGCAATTAAACGAAACGAAGAGATCCAATTTATTCGTAATCGTAGGAGGAAAAGTTATGTGTTGCTCAAGAAAATTCCTTGAAGGGTAGATCAACTGATACGATCGATTACGAAACTACGACTTCTATTATTATTATTAAAGGTGTAGTAGTTGTCGAAGACAAAAGATCTAGGTTCTTTACAATTGGACTGACGCTTCACCTATTCATGAAAAGATATTTTAAACGAACTTTCCTCAACCACTTGCCACGCGTAAAAGTAAGAAAGAACAAAGAAGGAAAGAGAAAGAAAGCGAACGACTGCTTTTTCATATTAAACAGATACCTGCCTGCCAAGTCTTGCCTGTCGTTTTTAATGAGACCTACGCGGGCGTTGTGGGTTAATTATTCCTGAAAAAAAAAGAAAAATAAACTCGCGTCTGTAATTCTTACGTTCGTTAACCATCGTCGTCGGTGATTTTTTAAGAGTATCTTTCGAAACTGATATTAAGTTCCGCTGTTCCATTATAAACGGTTCGACGACATTTGCTCGCAATATCTCGGTTAATCGATTTCTTAATATTTCTGTACTATTTTCTTCAGCACTGCTCATTGAACGCTAATCATCGAAATTACGTACCAACTAATTAATTAGGTTCTGGAGTTCAGTCTGCACTGAATCGTGAGAATCAGAGTCTCGCGCATGAGACTCTCGAACGATGCCTAAGAAAACGTAAGAACAGCAAGAAGGAAGAAGAAGGAGAAGATTCCTTACGCTCAGACGAGTCTACGAAGATTTTAATATACCAAGATACAATGGTGATAGAAGGTTTGACGGCCAAAAAGAGCGAAGTCTATTCGAGCGTGCAAATACAAATATCAACTGCAATTGTATCTAAAGGTTGCGAAAGCAATCTATCCGGCTATATTTCTTCGTTTCGACGTCTATACATCGATTTCGTTTTAAGAGAAGCAATTTCGTCGGAAGTAAACGTCATAAGCGAAACTTAAAATTTCAATGATCTAAATAATCTAATGGCAATTTCTCCAAGTACTGTGACGTGAATTGTGACGAGACAACCACCTTCCTGTATCGCTTCGATTTCACGCACGTAATCTCTTTTCCCGATCACAATCTGTAAATTTCCAAAAACAAACGGTCCACGACCAAACCACGCATCATTACTTCAATCCAATTTCGAGTAGAAAGAAAAAAAATGCAATTGCACGAATCGAAAGTTATCGTGCTATATCGTATCTAGAAACGATGTCCTCGCTCCGCTCGGGCTTCATTCATAGAGGTTCATTCATGAATCTTCGTTCTTACTACGTAAGAAATTTCTACGTCTGAAAAACAGTTTTTCGATGCTCGCCGGTAGCCAGTTTCGTCGAGGGATTTCCTGTGATATCATCGTTCGGGGTGGAGACTAATCCAATGACGCAATGAACCAGAGGGTGTAGAATACATACGGGGCGGCCGTAACGACGTGGAGGAGGAACACATCGGTGATGCTGGTACCAATAGTGGTGGATTCAGCTCTGCTTCTCTTGGTGGTACGGAAGAAGAACGTAGAAGAGGGGTGAGTGGTTGCAGTATAAATGTGGCCCGCGCAAGCTCCACCAATCACTCGCCCTCTGACCTCCAAACTCCAAGCTCTCAAGCTCTCGTGGTACCAAACACCCCCTCTTCGTTCATACGATCAAGAGACAAGCCAGCACGTCGGCACTGGAACTCGTGCCTCGTGATCACCGCGTGGTGGTGTCATTCGAGTATCATCGCCGAGGACCGCTCGCTACCATCGAGGCCAACCCTTAACTTCGACTCCAGCAGAAACTCGAAATTGTTCGCTTTACGTGGCAGCACGATTTGCTTATTCCTTCGACCTGCGATACCTCTTTAATCTCACAAACATGGTAACGGTAAGTGTTAACGCATTTTCACTAACATCTTCATTTTCTTCCATTCCGTTACGTTCGTTTTTTTCGTTTCTTCTCGTTTGATTCGCACGATCGGTTCGATAGAAGGGTGATCAACAATTTTACCGAACATTGAAAATGTCGAAAGTTCCTCGACGACAACCCACGTCTATGGACACGAATTTATTTCTAACATATCGCGAGTTTGGCACACCTAGTTTAAAGTCGCCTTAAACAATGGGGGAGAAAAGAAACAGAGGTGTGACGTGTATCGGATAGAAGCGTTGAACCCAAACAGTTCGTTGATCTTCTCTGTTCCGTCGTACGAAATTGTCATCGCTGGGACTCCTTCGAGTCATTTACGACAAACCAGTTACGTGCGCAACGGTATTCGTCGCGTTGAGTTTCGGAAAATCATCTCGGTTCTAACGAACACGGCTCCAGTCGAACGAACGAAACGGTTTGTAACAAGTACTTATCGTTAGACCCAGCAATTCGTTAGATAATATTTTCGTTATAAAATCGTTTCGTCGATTAGCTATATATATCCGTACGTCTGAACACACTTTTGCTGTTCATAACTGATAAATTTTAAAGTACGCATATCCGTGTTACACAATGTTAATCTAAATAAAAAAAGGAAAGAAAATATAATAAAACGGCGCGTGGTTTGTGAGAAAAGTGAAATTAGTTTTATTAAATAATCGTACAAAGTAGATTAAGCTGCGTTAATTCGAGAATCGAGTTTGCTGAATTTTCTTACGTGACAAATTTTTAAATAACTTTAAACTGTAGATTTATATGGTCGATATACCAGTGATAGGAGATAGAGGCAACAAAGGAATACGAGAAAAAGTGGTTGTGAATAGAGTTATGAATCATAAAAAAAAAGGAAAGATGCCATCTATAACATCTACATTTTACGTACCATAGAAAGCAAAATTTACTAGCGCAGAAATTTACGCGAAAAGAATTTACTTTATGCTATTATCGGGAGTTAATTATCTCGTGACAACAATTGGCCGCGTTCCTCGTAAATTCAACATTGGACAAAATTATTATACGATGTAAGGAATGTGCCTGCTATGATCAGTTTATCTATCTCTCTGTCTTCTGTCTTCTATTTGGCTGGAGAATAACAATCGGACAATGAGATGTGACGGCGAACCAGAAACCAATAGGAATGAAATAGAATGCAAGAGATAGGAAACTAGCAGGAAATCCAACCACTTCGGGTACGCTACGTCTAATTCGATGTGTCGCCGGCGAATACATAAAGCTTTTCTTGTTTGCACTGGGAGAAATGTTTACGATTCATCCATAGCTGCACGGCGCCACGGGTTTTCGTGTACTCGTTATCACGCGTTAGAGATTCATCACTGCCACCCGGGATCAGCAGCTGTGTATTTTCATGGCCATAATTATCGAAGATCCTTTGCCTTATTCTAACGGACCGCGATAGCTATGAATAATTCGTTTCTCGATACGCAACTAAACAGCACCACGAATTCGTACGACAGTCTGACGTGAAAGAATGATAGATCGATGTACTGAAATGACGATTCCATGTTACAACATTAGCGGTTTCCAGTTTTCACGTGCTTTCACCGTATTCATTAAATAATATTTTTTTTTCTTTTCGATCAATGAGCTGATCCGGACGTTGAATTACGTAGAGCATGATGGAAACCGAGTGAATTTTATGACCCTCCGACTGTCAATGAACAAAGTTGTAACTTTAGTTTAAGAGAAAAAATAACCCGCTGCTCGATGAATTTATACATTTTGCACTGGTTATACCAATAGACGTTCTTTTTTCGTATTATCGTTTAGAAATACGTCTCTTTTTATTAACTTAAATCAAATTAAAATTGAGTATATTTCCTTAGCCGTCTGAAAAGAAAAAGATTAATTTTGAATCGAAGTAAAGATATTTTATATTGCGAACAACGTACTTTCGCGCGATCGAACGCACGGTCAAACGAAAAGTTTCTTCGACAAAGTGGAATAAAATGAATTCAACGACGAGGAAAGTGCGTATAGGAGAATTCGGATATAAAGCGAAAGGATACGACAACGCGAGTGAAAAACTAAAAAGGGGGAGGCGTGGAAAAAGAAAAAGAAGAAGAGTGGAGAGGTTTTTCTATGCCACGAGACAGAGAGACGCCAAGGCGCCCCATTTCCGAGCCAGGGGTTAAATCGTGCGTTTCTAGCTTTTCCCTACTATCTCGCTTGCCTTCTTCTCCGTATTCTCATCCGCTCCCTGTCCACTCTACCTCCCTGAATAATTATTTGCGCTTCTTATATTTCCGTTCAATTTTACCAACGAAGACAATTTTTCTTACGGATTACCGATTCGACGTCAAATGTAAATATCGCTGCTCCCTTTAAAATTCGCTCGCTATACAATTCCTGCGTTTCTTTCTAAAAAGCACTTTTAACACTAAAAGCACTTGGTACTGCAACTTTGTTTTGAAAATTTTTTACTGTAGAAAATTGTCTGCGGTATTTATATTGGAATTTTAGCAAAGTCGCCTGCATTTTGAGAATGATAGGGACGAACGCGAATCGTTTTATAGAACAAACGAACGGTTGGAAAATGCCATTAACTAGATTCGCGAGGTCGAGTTAAAAAAATCGTAGAGTCTGGACAATTTGATAAAACGATTACAGCGACCAAGATGGTAACGTTTATAAGCGTTCGTCTATGTAATGATTCGATTCGGATCAGCAGACTGTGACCTCGGACGAAATTTAATAACCCGTCTCGTTCCGACGAGTTACGACGAACAGACGCGACAGCAAATCGTGCATCGTCCGTGCCGAAATTTATGTTATTTATTCCAAAGCTGACTATCGGTGGAAAATACCAGAGGTAGCTCGTAGATATTCTGCTTTTCTATGAAGGAATAGCGTGAAAAATCGGCATACAAATTCATTTAACCTCCGTAGAAATGAACATCGACTTCTACGTATTATAAAATTATAAGCGTCTCACTAATTATCACATAAATGTAACCAGATATAAAAGCTTTGATACATTTGATGCCAAATGAGAATGAAAATTATAGGGGGAAAAAAGAGGACAAAGATCGGTATAATAATAACAGATGAAAGAAAATACATTGTTCGATCTTTAGCAAAAAATTCCACGTGACCAGTGATGCGAGCTCTTACTTTTAATATTAAATGAATTTAATGACAATACAAAAGAAACATACAACGGACGTGTTATATTTGACTGGAATAGAGATAAATTTTTAAATCATTCGAAATTTTTATATCAACGCGTAGGTAGAACATTTTCGTTCAGAGGTCGATACGCAACTTCTTTTTTTTGCCTAAAGCGTTCCCTAACAAGGCATAAAGATTATAGGAGAACAGGGACAAAAGAATCCTTCGAGACTTTAGATTTCATCCCCTCGAACACCGATTTTCGATGAATTACACGAAATTTATACATTATGTTAATAGCGTTTGATTAGTCGCCATTACGTAACTGCCTGTGAGCAAACAGTGAATGGTTCCACGAAAAAGCGGTAACTGATACCATCGCATCGAAAGGGGGATAGATCGAACAATTCCATTGCGAAACCCACACGAAAAACTTTCCCTCTGATAATTAATTTGTTGCGGCCCGTTATCGTTATCAGTTTAAATTCGCTTAATTTCGTTTATTTTTCATTCGTGATTCCGGAATTGAAAAAAAGCTTCTAAACTTTTTGTTAAAAAGCACGTGAAATGGTAGGAAAATGTGGTTTCGGGTCAACTCATATTTGAATCAACTTACGTGACAATTGCCTGTATCAAATAATAAGATCGTACGGTTATGGTAGCGCCGTAACGTAACGTATTTCATAATGAAGAAATATAGACGAGAATGTCAGTACCCGTGCTAACAACATGCTACAGCATTCGTATAAAAAGGTGAAAATACCGTGATATATCTGAGTTTGTAGAACACGCTCATTTCCGAAGACTATGACGGTCTTTTTCAATTAAAAATCCACCGACATCCCTGTACATTTTCCATCAAAGCAAAAACGCTTTTGCTGCACATTCACAGCCGCATTACCTCTGATGCGTGTGGGAAATATAAAACGATATTCACGTCGTAAATGAACAGTATTGTATTTATATATCAACAAGTCTCTGAGTTTCGTTCTTTTTTTTTTTTTTTTTTTTTTAATAAATATTCGAATTTCTGTCGTTCTTATCTATCTCTACAAAGAAACTATGTTGTATACGTGTATGTATAGCGATTTTGATAGAAACAGGAAAGATTACGCTGGTTTCTCCTTTACGAAGTCAAAAACAAAAAGAAGACCCTGACGTACCACAATAGTTGCTGTGGGTATGCCAAAGCTTTTTAGAGTGTATCGTCAACTGTCGATCAATTTGCATAATTTCTGTAATTGCAATACCCACCAATTAGCTGAAATTAACCATGTGCAACATTACCGCGCGGTTCCGTCACCACCTACTACCTGTACCCTGTTCAGTGGTTCCTTTGATAAATTCCAAATTAATACATGAACGTCGTCGAACGACAATCGTGAATAAAAATTAACGTTACATGTTTGCGATTGCCGGAAAGAAATATTACTTTCGTCTTGATAGTCTCGTATCGTTGCCTCGAAAGTTGCAATATGTTACAAATAAAAGTCGTAACCAAAGAAAAAAAAAAAGAGAGAAAAATAAAGAGAAAAGAGCAACAAAGGACACTATCGAAAACACGTGTCTACCTATGTCGTTGAAAGAGCGATTTTAATCGTGATTTAAGGATATTAAAATGTATAACGGCGAGCATAATTTTGCCCTAACCGCGAGATATCGTTTTACATCTTGATTAAAATTGTTCGACAAAGCACCCGGAAGACGCATTAAGATTTATCTCACGTATCGTGATTTTATCATCCTTGTTAAATCTACTATGCGTCGACTATAGGCGTTTAATCGATAACCATCGGAAACACCGATTTATATTCCGTTTACAAATTCTTCATGAGACTGTTATACGTAGTCTGGCATACGTACGTATAAGTACATAGGTAAATGCCCAGCGAAATCTGAATCGAATCGCGACAGCACATGTCCTCTCAGGAAACACTACACGTAAACTGGAAATTAACTAATTGACCTGGATTAGGAACGAATCAGAGGTAAATTGTAGGCAACCGCGTTGATTATTACGTTAAAATAACAAAGATATTAAAAGTAATGTATACATTTAACGTACACTTTTTCAATCGGTATATTGAAAGCTTTTTACGGGAAAACGGCTATTTTCTTTTCAAACTAAGTTATTGGTTTCACCAAGATCAAATTTAGCGTTTTACCATTTAAAAGGTATAAAGTTATAAAATTATATTTCACGAATTTAGAAAAGAAACGCTCCGATCAAATATGTTTTCTACATTGCGAAACATCGATCTCGTATATTTCGCATTTTTATGTATTCTTTATTCTTAGTAAATCAATGTCGGACGCAACGTACGCCCACTTAAATTTTGAGACCCTTGTACGTTTCGGCGTACGATATTTTCTATCCAATGAGATTATTAAGAGCTGCATTCGAAACGTTCGCTCGCAAATAACAAGAATAAGATGTGGAAAAGAACAGGTTGGCGCAAATTGGGTGATACGCCACTAACTTGTTCTCCTTTTTGCCTTCGTCAAGTTGAAAATAAAAGGAAATCTGATATTGATTTTGGATGAAGTCGTCTTCCCTCCCCCGATTGACAAGCCGGACACGAAAATTGCTGAAATTCAATGACTTCTGCTTTCGCACAGACAAACTTATATGACGTCGATTCGTTTCTTAAGTTATTTCCATTTTTATCGTTAGCGACGTAAAATATATAAAACAATAACGAACCGATTTATTATTTCTCGAATATTGAAAACTCGTAGATGAATAATAATTATCAAAATTGTTTACAGGTTGTGGCTTACATCCAACGATGCATGATCATTTTTGCCATCCTACTTTGTTATTTTCACGTTCGGAGTGAACGTAGTGAAAGCGTGAATTGCGAGTATGTATACATATATATATATATTTTTATTAAATTTAATAATATGAGTAGACTGCGGATGTTTATGCAAATTTATATTTTTATTAACGCGATTAAACGAATGGAATCTAAGTAGAGATCCGTTTTACGCGCCAAGTATTGTAGAAACTATACTTTGGATATTTTATATATTTTTGCATCATACCATACGCATTCTATACATTTTTGCACTTTCAAAATTCGTATAAATGTATAGAAATACACAGTCTAGATATGAGAAACATGAACAGTAATTATATTCCTTATATCTCCATAGAGCATTTCCGTACCATCAAATGTGTAGAGGTTCAATGTCAAGAAAACGTGCAATGTTCCCGATCATGTATGGATTAGGATGCGAGGGGAGTGAAGGAAACATAAATTGCATCAAGGAATTTGAAGAAAGACATCGTATTCCTTACATTCCTCTATCGAAGTCAAAACTGTTGATTGCTTTGCTTGACGATGTAAGTTATTTTATTATCTTTCTTATCTATACGTCGAAAGTTAATCGAGCAAAATATTAAGAAAGCGGTAATAGACAGGTTTGATATCTTCTTGATCTGTTATAGGATCTGCAAAAGGATATTACACGATCTGCTCGCCACAAATTAAGAAACGATGAAATGAATAAACGAAAGCCATCTATAATAGAGAACTTCTTGTCGGAATTGGACTCTTCGGACAACTATTGAATGAAATGATCAGGAAATACAAATTTTCTCGACTTGTGCAAACATTTTTCATCATTTAAAATTTTAGAAATATATATTTAGTCTTCTTTCTCTTTCTCTCTGTCTGTCTGTCTGTCTGTCTGTCTGTCTCTCTCTCTCTCTCTCTCTCTCTCTCTCTCTCTCTCTCTCTCTCTCTCTCTCTCTCTCTCTCTCTCTCTCTCTCTCTCTCTCTCTCTCTCTCTCTCTCTCTCTCTCTCTCTCTCTCTCTCTCTCTCTCTCTCTCTCTCTCTCTCTCTCTCTCTCTCTCTCTCTCTCTCTCTCTCTCTCTCTCTCTCTCTCTCTCTCTCTCTCTCTCTCTCTCTCTCTCTCTCTCTCTCTCTCTCTCTCTCTCTCTCTCTCTCTCTCTCTCTCTCTCTCTCTCTCTCTCTCTCTCTCTCTCTCTCTCTCTCTCTCTCTCTCTCTCTCTCTCTCTCTCTCTCTCTCTCTCTCTCTCTCTCTCTCTCTCTCTCTCTCTCTCTCTCTCTCTCTCTCTCTCTCTCTCTCTCTCTCTCTCTCTCTCTCTCTCTCTCTCTCTCTCTCTCTCTCTCTCTCTCTCTCTCTCTCTCTCTCTCTCTCTCTCTCTCTCTCTCTCTCTCTTCCTTCTTCTCTCTTCTTCCCTCTCTGCCACCCTCTCGCTCTGTCTCTCCCTCACCCTCTCTATCATATACGCGAAATAAAACTTTCCCTTTACTTTTACCTTTGTATTAGAAATCTTCTTGCTTCACTTGTTTTTTTCTGTTTCCTATCTCTTCTGTTTTCAAGTAGTCATATTGCTTCTTCGTTTTTAAAACCAAATTATAATTAAACCATTGTATCCACGTTACTAACAATACACATGTGTTACAGTATAAAAAAATATATTTGAAATTCGAAGCAACTCCTTAAATAAACCTACTAAAAAAAAACAATTGTGATGTTAAAATATTATCATTTTACATTTTATTATAATATGTAGCATAACTATTATTCATCAAACTTGTATATAAACAAATTAAAAAGGAATAACATAGACTGTTTTCGGAAGGGAATGTTGTTAATGTTGTTTATTTCTACAACTAAGAAATTTCGTATATTATTTTATATACTTGTAAAGTTTTCAAATGTACTGATGAATGAAACTATTAACGTAAAATTCATAACAATTTGGATTTTATAATTGTACAATAAATTATTGTATTTATGCGATTATTTTTGAAATTATATTTAGTAAAAGAATTTAATGAAAAACCGGCAATAGATAACTTAGTGTTTACTTCTTTTTTGTGGAGATATAAAAATGAAACGTAACATGAACGCAGGATAAAAAATGAATAGCTAAGAATATAAAAGAATGATGAAAATGATCAGTATATATACTAATAATTTTTGTACATAAAATTCAGTAGTGATACAATTTCTTTTCAAATGAGTAATGTCAACTATTACTTTTCACCATGTCTAATTTATATGTACATTCTATTAATTTATATGTATACAGCGTATAACTAATTTATTGTCATAGTTCATTTGAATTAAAGATATTGACTATCATCGATAAAAAGTAAAAACGTAAATATTTATATGTAAGTATTTATGTATACATGTGTATACACACATACATATATATGTATGTTCAAAAGTTTAAAGCAAACTAATGTAATTTCTTTTCTTGAGAAATGAGAACTATATATTTATAGTAATACATAAATAATTAAAAAATTTTATTCTTGCTCATTCTATAAAATCACATTAAAATTATAATTGTTTTTAATTTAGCATATTTATATTTTATACATGCATGTGACTATACATATACGTAAACAAAGATAAAATATATGTATATAGATACATATACATATATAAGTATCTCGTTCACTACGAATTGGAATTGCAGGCATGTGAGAAGTTTCTGGTTCTGATTTCAGTTTTGTATACAAAGTTTTATTTAAAAGTTAAACGTATTTAATAAATAGCGTATCTTCTAATAAAAATCCAAAATATGAATGTTATTGCAAGAACGAGTTTAATCGTACTAAATTGTACTAAAACAATGATTTTGAGGTTACATAATAAATCATACTTTACAAATACGACTAATTACACATGGACTTTAAAACCATATTCAAGATTTATAGAAAAATATAAATGCTTCGTTCTATGCCAGAGATATAAAGCAGTTGCAGTCAATAAAAATTGCCAAGATGATCCTATAAAAGAAAATATTGACATACCTGAACATAAAATCATGCATTTAATACTTCAAGATTCCACATATTATGATAGGACTATTTTTCCACGCATTAAATCAAATGCAATAGTTACTTCTGAGGACATAGAAGATCTTTATAATGTAGATTGGTCACATGAATCTCCAGGGAATATTTCTAATGCTGTTAAGAAATTGGCATATTCTTATTTAAGTGGCACATGTTTGGATATATCACTTCATGACAAGATTTTAGAAGCCTGTATTGAACACCTCCCAGTAATGCAGGATAAACAAATAAAACTTTTAATGCAATGTTTAATTACGTTAAATGATATAGTAACAGTATTACCTGTTTATAAAAAACTGATGAAAGCATTAGATACAGAATGTATGAAACGATTTTATAGTTCAAATATTGAGCAATTGTTATTAATGATTGATGCATTTTATCAGCTTAATGTTACAAATATTGACTTTACGTGGCGTGCAATGAGAAAATTGGTTTCAAAACCGTATAAACTTTCTGGAAAAGAATTAGTTCAACTGTTCTTTTTTCTACCTTTCATTGATACAAGATCATTTATAAATATGTTTGAAATCGAATATCGGTTAGAAGAATGCATGCATGAACTTGTTGCAGACGAAATAGGTATAATCGCAAGAGGTTTTTTTTTAAATAAAAGGAATATTTGCAACAAAACCTTATTACCAGTAATGATGGATAAAGTTAAGCAAGATGCTACTACCGTGAACAGTGTTACTTTAGCAGCATTTATGAAACTTGTTAGGTAATAATACAACTTGTTATACATAATTTTTTATAGTAATCGTTATTATAACACATATAAATATGTGATACAGATTTAGTAACAATTTACATTGTTTAAAAATCTTCCAAGTATTATTGAAATCTTTACATGGCGAGATACCACGACTATCATTAAAATGTCTAACCCATATAACACATGCATTTGGATCTTTTCGTATATATGATGAAATTTTAACAAATTCCATTATTCAAAGGTAAGTTAAGTAAGAAAAAAGTAATAATAACACATTCACTTATAAAAGAATTGCTTGTTATTAATTTAGATTAGAAAATGAAATGGAAACTGCAAGAGTAAAAGATATTGAAAGAATTATTTATGGCATATGTACAGTTACTCCTGTTACAGATTACTATAGAAATGTATGCCACAAATTATTGAACGAAATAATGTTAACTTATAAGACTACCAGAGCAAGTGAAATTAATAGGTAAATATTTTGTTTCCATATAATAATTACATATAGTACATACATATATTTAGAAATGTATTATGCAAAAATCAGTGATTCCATTATATATTAAATATAGCTTTCCAATATCGTTAGTACGTATTCTGACATTCTTAACAATTAAAAATATATATGCACCAGAATTACTTCAACACGTATTTGACCCAACATTTATAACAAATACATACAAAAATAATCTCAAATTGTTGACAAATGAATGGCTGATATTACACTGCTCAGTAAAAATAGAATTGCCTTATTACAAAGGCCCATTACTGACAAATAATATGTATGAATATTTAATAAAGGTACAGTGTAGTAAATAGGATTAAAAACTTACATTTTGCAGTTAGATAATTAAATATATTAAAACTTTTTTACTATTATAGAAATTTAATAAATATGATGATGATATCTACAGAAAGGACACCAATGTGAAATTAAGGATGGAAATTGTATATATCTGTAAGGTATACAATACAAAATTATATTTAAGAAAAGCGCTCAAAAAATAGTAATGAAACATATTTAATGCATTAATATTATTATTTTAGACAAGATTAGGAATAGATGTACATGTTGATTATATTTTGCCTCAGTATTCAACTAGAGATATTGTCATTGGTATGGATACATGTAACAATCCTATTAAAATTGATTCTATTTTATCGGCAATGCCGACAAACTCGATCAAAAGTGTAAATAATGATGAATTAAAAAGAATAAAATGGAAAGTTATAGTTCCAATAATGGTTTTAATAAAAATATCAGGTCATGATGGTTATGTTGGATACATCCAGAGAAAATGTAGACAACTTGAAATTATAGGATACACACCGATTATAGTAATTTCTAAAATTATTGTTTCTTTTTTACAATGATATATAAATGATATATTAACTTCAGAATTGTTGAATAATGCATATATACTAATGGATTTTTAATTTTTATAGGTTTATGAGGATCAGTGGAATTGTCTTGATGAAGAAAGTAAAGAGAAATATTTAAAACAATTAATTTATCAAGATATTAAATCTAATTCATTTAAATGAAATAATTGTTTTGATATGAGAAAAGGTTTCCTTAAAAAGTAAATTCTGAAAACTTGATGAACTTTTTGAGTCTCCAAAGTCTCTAAAAAATAATTAGTCTTGAAATATATATATAAATATATACACATTATAAATATATACACATACATATACATATATATGTCAGATTAAGGTTGGAATTTTGGGCGTTCGATGAACCTTCACTCAAGTTTACCGGTACAAATGTAGGTACTACAAGAGGCTACAAGTAATAGCGGCGATAGGATGGTCGCGATGCCGATGACAACGAATTCAGATTCGACAACGAATCCACGGTCCACGGGATGACGAGCGCCAACGCAATACACGATTTGGATAACTCAATCAGCAATTCGCCCAACGACTAACTAACTAACTCGTAATCCAAATGGAACTGCCCGTATATAGTCCTTTTCCCACTCCTTGGGTCAATCTCTGTTTTTGAGGAGAGCTATTTGAGCACAACTATTTTCTACTTCCGTTATTACACGTCCCTCCCGTGACCGGGGGTACGTTCGGTGACTCATTATATCACCTCGAGCCCAAACCCATCGTCATAAACCTTAAGTGCCCGCATAACTATTTCTTCGTTTATTGCTTAAATGTCGATGTCGTAAACATCTGGATTGGGGTATTGGGTTTTTCCGAACATTCTAAAGAAAGGTCCCGATGTCCTTCCATCTTCGACATATATATATACACACACATACGATAATATTATTGTTGTTTTATAGACATTAATTATACAAGTTATAATATATAATACAATAATAATAATTTTGTATAGAAAATCATTTTCATATCAATTATTTTCAAATCCATTTATTATAGCCTATTTTATGCCTTATAATAGAAAGAATAATATCATATAAATATAATTTATTCTATTGGCTGTTCTCAAAAAAATTAAGCATGAATCTTTTAGAATATTCATAAGTTACAAATAATGTAGCTGTTGCTGGTACTGTCCTTATTAACGTTGGTTTTAAACCATTGTACAAAGAGCTAATACCTTCATTTTTTACGATGTCTTTCATAACTACTAATGCAGGACTTTTCAAATTTTTAACCTTTAAAAAAAGAATTAGAATATAAAACTTATTTATATTCTTGATTCGTATTATTTATATTATATAAAATGAAACTAACCTGTATCCTACTCTTAACTACATCTGCTGGAAATATTACAAGCCATAAGACACTTCCACCAATGGCACCAGCTACCATGGTTCTCTGCCATCCTATGTCATTCTTACTTTCATTTGGTTTTGTTAGAAGTTCTCTGGTTACTTCATAGCCTCCAAAAAAAAAGAAATATCCAGGCATTTCACGTGCTATAGTTGATGACAAACCAGTAAATAAACCTTTTATGCCTTGTTCTTTAAGAATTTGACGTGTTAATCCCCATGGACCAATTTCTTTCTAAACAAAATAATTTTTCTCAAAACATGAGTTCTTCTATAAATTTTACATATTAACTTTTTTATCTTAGTTACCTTAGCGACAGTTAATACTGATTTCATTTCCATTTGAACTTCTCTTACTGCTTGTAGCTTACATTTTATAAGTTCCGTAGGACATAATGTTAAAGAAGAGAAAAATGCAGCAAAAAATCCAGCACAAGCATTTTGAATTGATGTCAAATCTTCTATTTTTTTAATACCTATATAAATAATTTTTTTTTTAATTAAAAACGTTAGTTCTTTTAACTGCATTGCATTTTAAAAAAATTATAGTACCTAAAACATTGGAAATAACTTTCTGACATCCTCCATATGCAGCAAACAATACTGAATTCTCAGCAACATTAGCAACTAGTGCAGGTATAGTTCCTGCATATAAACCACGTATTATTCCATCTGCTTTCAGGGTTTGTAAAAAGCAATTTGTCATTCCCTTATACATGGAGGGAAAGGTTTGCATTTTTACCTTAACTGTATCTAATGGTTGACCAACATATACAAGTGCTATCCCACCTTAGGTCAAAATGAAACATAATTATACTAAATAATTAATCTTTTTACAACAAGCAGAGATCATTTATTTTTACTAATATATTCATTCATTCGTTGTTAGTAATCGCACAGTAACTAATTACTGACAATAATAAGGTTAAGCACTTCTTAAGAAAATTTGATTTCATAACATAAAATAGATTTAAGAAAAGATTATATAAGTAAAAATTATATAGATTACTATAAAAAATACAGATATTTGAAATTTTATTCATCTCATAATTGATTTATTTATGTCCAATTGATTTTAAGATTGTTTGTGCATTGATAAGAGTAATGATGTATTAGAATGTATTGTTACCGAGTGATCCAGAAATAAAGTCAATTAAACCAGCTCTAATACTATTTAATTGTTGATTTTCTTTTTCAGCAAATTCAAATGTCATCTTTATGTATATATCTAAATCAATAAACTCCAAATCCTAATGATTAATGAAATAACAGGTTAAGACATGCTATTCCGGTATTGTATTAACTACGATTTGAATGTTTATCTGTTATCGAATGGGAAAGATAAGAGAGGTCTATTTACTGACTAAAAATTACTAATACGATTTGTATCTTTGGTCTGATGAGCCTTTTTATTTACACAATGCATTTACATCTTTACAAATTTCTAAATGCACGCATGCGCATTTGTAACTATACGAGATTGATAAAGAAATTGTTCATTGATCAGTGACAATTGAAGTATCAAATAGCCAATAATAAATTTAAAAATCATATTTCGCATACTCATGTACACAAGAAATTTCTGTACACAGCTAATTTTTATCTAGTCTAGAATAAATTTCGCTGTAGTCTTTTGATCATGCGATGAATTCATCTTATAGCAATCGTATCTTTTATGGTGCACATTTCTATAAGTTTTAATTGTATACTGCAGTGACATAATTAATAAAGTATCAAGCATTTATAATTTAACCTAAAATGGATTACTTTATAAAAACTCAAATACACAGCATTGTATTCAAAATGAAACTATTACAGTTTGTAAAGTATGATAAGTAATACACGTACAAAAGAAATGATTTATTCTAAAAACTAAAACTATCAATGAAGCTGTCTTGATATATATTTTTACTAGACAATGCTAGAAAACGGTTGTCATAGAAACGCAGTGCTACAGCTTTTAAATTCTATATTACTAAATTAATCACTTTATTATTTCAGATTGATTTTTAAAAAAGTGGATCAAAATTTTTTTCATTATAATATACGTATCACGTTGGTTCTTCGACTAAAGTAGATAGGTAGAATACTATAATTTTGGATAAATTATTCACAAATGTTTAAAACAAAATCTAAACTAAAATATTTTACTGAAATTCATGTAGTTTAGTAAATCAAGAAAGTTACTAGATCGTTGTATTCAAGATATACATGTATGACGTACGCGACAGTCTGTAGTTCCAAAACATGGGTTTTCTCAGTTATATTTTCAATTAAATGATTATCCTTTTTTGGTTTGTTTTAATAAAGGAAGCATTGGGTTTGACCTGTGTTGTAAAGAAATCGCAAAATTCAATACGATGCTTGTCTTCTTCGCATTACGAAAATAGGGAAAGTGTATGTGTTATAGTAGATCTGCCATGATAGATCCGAGCGCGTCTTCATCTTATACCAAAAAAGTCAGAGATTGTTAGCAAAATGTGTGATTTTTGTTATCAGGAGAGCTCCTTAAAGGTACGCATATCGTCTGACGAAAATTTAACGATTCTGCCCATTCTTTAGTAGCTTAATAAGGAGGTAAATTCTCTTATTAAATTGGAGCGCAGCGTGCCTCTAGGAGCGCTCTGGCTCGTCTGCGCCATTAGCGTTCAGAGCATGATCGCCAGAGATATTTCTATTATATTATCAAAATAGCATATTACCATGATAAACTGTTTTTTAGGCTCTTATTATCTATATTCCTTCACTATTTACCTTTCTTTTAGCTTGAAAGGGAAATGAAATAACTGAGTGATATAATTGACATGACGGTAATTCGAAATTTTTAGTAATATATTTTTTTGAAAATGCTTCTTTTTAATTACTTGTCATTTTCCACGCCCTATTTGGTTTTTTCATTTTTATCCAAACAATTAAATATTATATTCGAAATTAATATATATCCTGTACAGGAATCTGTATATTTTTTATTTCATTGTATATCATTTAATTAACACTGTTAACATTTTTTATATATATGTACTGTTTCTTCATACCAAAAAAGTTGTATAAATATTGCCAGTTTTATTATTTTTAATACAAGGTATTAGGAAATTATTTTCTATCTTTATTGCTACAAAATATTTAAAGGGACATGTTAGTTGATATTTAAGATAGTTAAATGAGTGTGAATTACAAAAAGGTTTACATGGAATCATTATATTTTGTATAACAATATCCTTAAAATATGTATTTACATGTTAAAATAATAGTACAAATTTTTCATTTAATTATTTGAGCTAACTGTCAATTAATTTTTTAATTCTACAGTAAAAGTACAGATTACAGAATGGTGGTGGACTGCTTATCCATTCAAGGCTCAGTAGCTATAATACGGAAGCAGGAGCGAAGATTAGGTGGGTTAGTGGCTGCAAAGATGCAACCTAACAATGTTGGTAGTTGTGGTGGTATGACACCTAAAGAACTTTCTGACAATGATGATCTAGCTACTTCTCTCGTGTTAGATCCTTACCTGGGATTTACTACTCATAAAATGAATATCAGGTACATGTTTTTAAATATTACTTTAAATCTGTAAAATATATAACAAGAGATTGACATATGTAAAACTTATTTAATAATGAAGGTATAGGCCATTAAAAGCAAATAAAGATGAACTCCGTAAAATTATCTGTGAATTTATTCAAACACAAAATTATGAAAAAACATATAAAAAATTAATGGGTGGTGATTGGAGCGCAAGACTACCTCACACAAAATCTAAACAACAACAAATAAATTTGGAAAAACATGTGAGTTATATATGCAAGTCAGGAATTTTTTAATATATTTTATAAAATTTTGTTTTGTATCAATCTTATTTCACTTTT